GGAGGCGGGGTGGTTGCGCATGTCTCCCGCCGCTTCCCCACGGCCTCAGGGCACGGGCGGCGCTCACCCACGCACTCCAGCAGGTTCCCGTCGTAATAGAAGCCCTGCTTGCAGTAGCACTCGTAGCCGGGCTGCGTGTTCACGCACTTGCCCTCCTTGCAGATCTCCGCTCCGAACAGCACGCACTCGTCGATGTCTGTGAATGGTAAACCGCGGGCGCCCAGCCGCGTCTACTTACGTGGCCGCTCCACCCTAGCTGTTCGGAGCGAAGTAAACCCAGCCCGACCCTAGGGGCTATTCCCGGCTGGGACTTAAGAGTGACAGGGCGGGGCCTACTGGACGGGCGGGGCAGACCAGGAAGGAGCAGGGCCAGGTGCCAGCGACTGACCAAACCTGCAGCGGTTCGAACCCGGCGAAGCGAATTTAAGAGACGGGGCCGGTGTCTGAAGTTGTATTGGGGCTTACCACGGTGGGCTGGGATGCCATAGTTGACAATGTTGTTGTCCTGGGTGTAACCTTTTCCATCCGGGCACAGGCTGTGGAACTCAGCTGCAGGGAGGGAGCGGCAGTGGGGAGGGTAAGAGGAAGGCTGAGCACGCACGTGCTGGACGTCAAGCTCTGGTCGAGCACGCAGCCTCATTTTCCAGCTGCCCAAGGGGGAAGCCCTTTTCCTCCATTGGGGAAATATAAGATGAAGAAAGGTTCTGGGAGGGGTCTGCTGGGCTCCTGACCTGAGCTGTAGACTGGGCAGGGGTAGATTTCGCAGTGGTCCCCCCAGCCAGCCCCCAGCGAACAGCAGCATTCTTGCTGGGTGACATTGGTGGCCAATACACTGTCGCAGAACACTGTGTCGTCGAAGTTAAGGTAGCACTCCTTCTTGTGGTGGGGCTGCTCCACTTCTGAGGGTGGGGGGAAGGCAGCTCAGGGTCATAGACAGGCTGCCTTTGCCCTGTCTACCCTGCCCACCAACCCCGCTCCTTACCACCCACTTTCTCAGCTCCAGGTGAAAGCCAGACTCCTTTCCAGGTCTGACCCCACCAGGCGAATGAGATTTCTTTCTGTTCCCCAGATTAGAAAAGGTAAGACCAGGACACAACTCGGAACCCCAGCTGCAGCTCAGGCACTGTCTATTCCGGGGAGGGAGCCAGGCGGACACTCACCCTCACAGCCACGCTGGTCCTGGGTGGGTGTGAAGCCCTCATCGCAGACACAAACATAGGAGCCTTGCAGGTTCTCACAGGCCCCGTGGGGAAGGCACAGGCCAGGGTCCTGACTGCACTCATCTATGTCTGCAGGGAGCAAGGGGAGCAGGCAGCAGGCACAGGCGTGGCCAGAGGGAAGCCTGGGGATGTGCCCCAAAGGCCTCACAAAGGTTCAGAATGTGAAGTTCCACTGTGATTTCAACACACACACACACACACACACACACACGAGTGCCCGGCTACCTCGGTTAACAAAGTACACACCCAGGATGTCCACTCATGATTGCCTGCGCCGGGGTAGGTTGTGTGCATTTTCCGTGTTGTCATTCTTTCTAAAACCTTGGTCCCAACTGACAATAGAAGGGTGTGCTAACTCTCAGCTGGGCATTTGAGGATTTTCAGTTTGGTCTCCCAATACCATTAAGTCTCATCACCTTTCACTCTCACCGCACCCCTCTAACTCTGCTCGGGGCGCAGGTGCCTACTCTCTGAAAACACACTAGTTCCTCCCAGATCTCTAACTTTGTAAATTCTATTTTCAGGCCTGGAATACAATTCCACATCTGTCTCTGTTTAGAGAATCTCTACTTATGCTTCCAGTCTTAGTCCAATGGTCACTGTCTCATTGCAGTTAAATACTAGTCCAGACCTTTCCTGACACCCCGCACCTGGAACTGTGAGAATGAATCTACATCTTGCTTCCCCAGCCAGGAGCCCCAGGTCACTGCTGAATACTTACTCTGTAGCACAGAACCTGCAAATACTGAGCCCAGTGCTCAGTAAACACTTGTTGAATGAATGCGTGTATGGCTGGGTTGATAAGTTAGATTAATACGCGATTATCTGTAAAGACCTTAACAAACTGGTACATATAAGCACCACAGAAGTGCTGCCATTATTACTGTTGTTATTCCGGGTGAAAGAATGAAAGAGTGGTGGATGGACGGAAAGACAGGCTGATGTGCTCCCTGCCACTCCCCTCAGGACCCCTTGGCCAATGCTCCATACCTTGGCACTTCCGGCCACCCACTAGTCGATGCCCTTGGGGGCAGAGACATCGGTAGGAGCCATTGGTGTTGATACAATCACCCCCAATGCAGGCTGCAGGGAAGTCACACTCATCAATGTCTACAGGGGATCGAGAGGATGGAGAATCTTAGTGGTTGACCTCCCCCGCCAAGCCTGAGGCTGCGCAAGCTTCACCCGCAGAGCCCTGGTTTAGTCCCATGTCCTTATCCAGGATCTGGATGGGGACTAGACCTGGGCAGCGGGGGCCTGGAGTAGGGAGGAACAGGTCAGCGCCCAGGATCTAGGACCCCTTACCCTCACAGCGGCTCCGATCCCTTGTCAGATGGTAGCCAGAGAGGCACTGACACTGGAAAGAGCCTGGTGTGTTGGTGCAGATGCCGTTGTCACACACGTCCCCAGCCTCACACTCATCCACATCTGCAAAGTACAGGGGATGTTAGAGGGCCAGGTTGGGGGTATTCTGGGGCCCCTACTATTCAATTCCCACTCAATGCAAACTCTTCACTGCTTAATGAGAGAATTAAGGGTGTGGGTAGGAGAAAATGCTTCTGAAAACCATTGTCCACATCCTTCCCCTCTTGCTTCCCTTAGAGCAAGAGCTGTCCCTCGTCCTGCCCACAGCCAGTTGCCCAGGATCCTTTCTCCATCACCTCCTGGCCCCTACTGCTCCTGTCACCCCTGCCCACTTTCCCGGCACCTCCTCTGCAACCTATATCCTCACATCCCACCTTTGCAACCCCAGGTCTTCTTCCTCACTCGCTCCCTCTGCTCCTACCATGCCATAGATGCTACCCAGCCAAGGCCATCGGCAACCTTCTGGGCTCGCCAGTTCTTATTTTACAAGAACCTCCTACTGCACTTAGCAGTTCTCTCCCTTCCTGGAAGTCTCTCCTCCCCAGCTTCTCAGATGGTGCTCCACAGGTCCCTCATTCCTCCTCTCGTCATCTACCATTCTCCCCTATCTCCTCCTGTTCCTCCTCCCTCTCCTGCCCTAATGTGGCAGTGTCCACAAGGTTCTGCCAGATGCTCCCCTTTCCTGACCCACCATCCTTGGCTGAGCAGGCCTACTCTCAGACTCCAGAGCCCCCACAGTCCACGATTCCAGCCAGGCTCATCTGGCCCAAGACTCTCAGCCCACTCTCAGCATACCCTCTACTGTACCTTTAGCCCATTCAATTTGTCCAATGTGGAGCTCAGCCTCCTTTCTCCCAAACGTGCCCACCCTGAGGACCCTATCTCAGTGAGCAGTACCACTGAGTCACCTGAACTGGAAATGCCAGGGTCCATCACCCTACTCCTTCACCTAGCCACCCAGTGAACAAGCCCAGAGCACTTGTTCGTTCTTTCTCTCTCTTTCTCTTTATAGGGTAACTCACTGTGTTGCAATCCCCCTGCCTCCGCCTCTGGAGCTGCTGGGACTACAAACACACACTACATTATGAGGCTCTTAGCATGACCCAGGGATCAAACTCCAGCCTCCCATGTGGCCTCCACCTCCAACCAGCAGAGGCAGATAGTGAACACTACCATGGCTAGGCCTGGTCTAATACTTCTCTAATATTACATCATCTCATGGCCATCCTGAAGCCACTATTCTCAGCTCATCCCCCAACCCCCTCAGTCTGAAGTCTCTTCCAAAAAGCTCCAGCCACTGTCCACACTCAGCAGCAGGGGCTTTCTACCATAAATGGTGAATCTTGTCACTCTTCCCCTTAGAATGCTTCAGGTTTCCTGACACCTTCAGGATAAAATTCAACCTCCTGGCAGAGATTAGGGGCCCCTCCGAGGACAGAGGGATGGGGACCTGCCCCTCTCCAGTCAGCCTTACCCCCCATCCCTTAGTCACTCACTCCTCACCTCTGAGTCAGCCATGCTGAGCCCCTGCCTGGCATGCTGTTCCCTCTCATCCTTCTTCACTCTGCTAGTCCCTATTGATGCTTTCAGACAACTCAGACCTCTCCCTCCAGTCCCACTGGTGTTTCCAGGGAGCACTGGCTCCATCCAAGCCCATGGTGCTGCACTGGACAGCCTGCGTCTTATTTTCCCGTTTTCCTGAATCCCATCTACCCTAAGCAGGTCTTGTGCTGCATAACAAACATTAGTGCAGGGGAGACTAATAACATATCCCTTTCCTTGATTTCTTTCTGCAAAACTTAGTAACATGCTTCGCAAACGCAGTTTGAAACCCTGTCTCCTAAGATCTTTCCTAAAGGAAATTCTGGTGGTCTCTTTCTCTGCAAGGTTCGCGGAGAAAATGAGTGACAGGCTCAGGGAGCTGGGTATGAGTGAGCCACACTCCACCCTCTCGTTTTACAGAGCGACCCTCTCCCTGGCTTAGCGCTTGAGCGGTGGGTGGAATGCGGGTGGAGGAGGGTACTGGAGCTCACCCAGACAACTGCGGCCGTCAGGCGCAGGTGCGTAACCCTGGGCGCACGTGCAGCGGAAGGAGCCGGGGAGGTTCTCGCACCAGCCGGGCGAGCAGGGGCTGCCCTCAGCGCACTCGTTCACATCTGCAATAGGGAGAGCTTCACTAGGACTCTGCCCACACCCTACAGCACTGCGCAATGCCTGCTGTTGGTCATCTTCCGGCATCGCAAGTGAGGAGTGGGTGGGGAAGCCACCGCCCAGGAGACATCTCCCACCGCTGCCGCCCCCGCCCCATTTGGAGCCAGGATGGGCGAACGAGGCCCCGCCTTCTAGTCTAACAGGCCACTCCCATTAGTTTCGAGGTCCCGCCCTCACCGCGGCAGGCCCCGCCCCCTTGACTGCGGTAGCCGGGCTGACAGGCGATGCACTTGAAGCTCCCGGGTTTGTTTTCGCATTTGCCATCCGGGCAGGAGCTAGGATCCCGGCATTCGTCGATGTCTGCACGAGAGGGAGAAGGAAAAGGTTGTGCTTGGGGACAACGTAGCTAATCTGGGGCTCAAGGTCCTCAGCAGGGCCTCCTCCGCCATAAAGCAACAAAGTGAATCTCTCTGGGCTCCCGGACACCAGCTTCTAAGAGGCTCAGACATAAGCAGAGATAGGAGTGCAGACCCCCCCAACCTCGATCCACCACCCCAGGTCGGTGAACTCTAATACCCAGTTGGTCTGGATGGGGTCCCCCACCTTCGCATACGGGCGGCCGGGAGGCTTTGAGCCGGTAGCCCGGGTAGCAGTTGCACTTGTAGTGACCAGGAAAGTTGATGCAGAAGCCCCCGTCGCCGCACAGGTGCGGCTTGGCACACTCGTTCAGGTCTGAGCGGGAGAAAAGGAGCGCGAGGAGGATTCAGGGGGCGGGAGCGGAGGTTACACAGAGTCTAGGGGAGAGCCGTCTCCACCCAATTTGCCCAGCGCCGCCCCTGGCCCTGGCGGCGGCTCTCACCCACGCATGAGCGCCCCCCAGCGCCCACATGCAGGCGGTAGCCGCG